ATCATAGCCTCTTTCAGCTTGACTTCTTTAAGTGAGGCGACATAACATTCTCTGGCTACGGTCTGCTCTTCCATTACTGTTCCGACCTCAAGATCGGTTGGTAACTTGATGGCAAGGTGGTAAGTGGATGTGATAGCTTGGAAGGCATTTAGGGCGGTGCGGCCAAGGATGATGTTGTAGGCAGATGGGCAGTCAACAACAAGGAAGATAAGCAACTTTGTAGTCTGCCGCGGGTACTCACCGATTGTGATGGGAAGATCGATAGAGCCAATGGAGGTCACTCGGTCGCCAGTGAAACCGACCAAAGGGGTTTGGAGAGGAGACAGACTTTCTTTCCTGATCTTGAGCTGGCGGAAACAATTGAAGAAGATGATGTCTGAAAAACTGCCGTTGTCGACGAGAACCCGTCTGACCTTGTAATTGGAGAGGAGGGCAGAAATGACGAGAGGGTCGTCATGGGGGTAATGGATGCCTATGCAGTCGGCGTCCGTAAAGGTGATAGGCTCGGTCCACTGCCTGGGCTGTTTGGAGGGTCGGTCCAATGTAGCAATTTCTTTATCTGAGCCCTGCCTTATTTTTCTGAGTTCTGCCCGCTGAGCCGAGAGAGATGGTTCTCCACAAGCAAGCCCGCCGAAAATAACTCGGATTTCTCCAACAGGTGGGGCGGGGTTACCTTGTGCCCGAGGTTGCTGTGGAGGGCGATCATGACCTTGGTTAGGTTGTGTTGGTTGTCGGGGAGGGATGCGCCGGCGGTTGTTTCTGATGGGTTCAGTCCGTTTCCTCTGCTGAGGGCGTGTGTCCGTGAATCGACTGAGACGTCCTTGACGAATCAAGCCCTCGACTTGATCTTTGAGGTTAACACACTCCTCGGTATTATGGCCGTGGTCTTGGTGAAAATGACAATATTTGGACTGGTCTCTCCGATTGGAAGGAGTCTGTGATGGCTGGGGCCATTTTAGGGGGTAGTCCTGCTGGATCTGATTGAGGACTTGTTCTATAGGGGAATTGAGGGGTGTGTACTGCTCGAACCGGCCGGGCGGTCGGGCTGGTGCCAACCGGTCGGCTCGGGGGGGTCGGTCGGTATACTGACTTATTGGGTTATTATATTAGGTATTTCTGGTTTCTGCGTCCTTTTTCTTCTCTCTAGGGTTCGGGTTTTTGGTTATAGGATCTTGTTGGGTGGCTAGGGAATCTTCGGCGTTCATGTATTTTTGAGCTTTGGAGAGTAGGGTTGCCATGGAGGTCAGGGGGTTTTTAGAGAGGGAGAAAAGGAAGTCAGACGACTGTAGATCGGCCATGAAAGCCGTAAGAATGACCTTGTCATCGTTTTCCGCTACCTGCAAGGCTTCGGTGTTGAAACGGGTAAGGAAACTGCGCAGCGACTCCCCCTCGGTCTGACGGATATTGAGGAGCTGGGTTACCGGACGCCGCTGGCGCTGGGCTCCGATGAAATGGCTGAGGAATGAGTCACTGAGGTGTTGGAAAGTGGAGACAGAGTCGCTGGCAATTGACTAAACCAAAGTCGAGCTGACCCCTTGAATGTCACGGGGAAAGCTCGACACATGATTTCGTCAGGGAATGCATGAAGGATCATGAGGGTTCTGTAGGTTTTCAAGTGGTCGACTGGATCCGTCGTACCGTCAAAAGAGTCAATGGAGGGCATTTTGAACTTGGGGGGTAGAGGTTTGTCCCGGATGGAGGCAACGAATGGTGAGTTGGCTGTGGTGGAGGGTTTATGCTGTATGTTCTGCATGACTCCTTGGAGTTGGAGCTTTATGGCTCGGAGTTCTGCATCCCAGAGAGGAATGTTGTCACCACCGGAGGGCAGCGGGGGCTGGACGCTGCTGGCCTCTCATTTAGGGATTGGTGCGAGGACCGATGGATGTGGGCTTGGGGTGGTGGATTTATATCTGGGGGAGGTGGTCGCAAACCCTTTAAGTTGGGCGGATGAGGCTGTTGGATAGTATGGCTCGGGGCTCGCTCTTGGTTGGGTGGGATATCCGGAGATGGTGGAGGAGGCATAAGAAGGTTTCTTTGGAGTAGAGCATTAATCAGAGCTTGGTTCTGCTCGGCCAGGCGGTTGATACTGTTGGTAAGCTCGGTAAAGTACTGTGGTGGGTTGTTTGGATTGGGGGGGTCGGCTTGGTGGTCAGGAACATTGGCGTGGAAAGCCATGGATCTAGTTGTGACCATTTACCTTTGTATGTGGTAGGAAGAGATTGGGGAAGGGCCTCCGGCGACAAAGAGCACAACTGGCGCGCGGAGTAAGAGACTTCCCACAGACGGCGCCAATTGATAATACAGTTTGTTCCAGGTGGAACGGGTCGGACTGATCCACGCTCCTCTGGCCTGTGTCCGAGTGACCAAGCCCACCAGAAGACCTGCACAAGATTCCAACGGGGAATGGGGAGTCCCCCAGCGAACCCTCCGACGAGCAAGCTAAAGAGAGAAGTAGAATGTAGAGATGAATTAGAGATAAAAAGCTTAACCTTCTTCCTGTCTTCGACGTCTGCTTATATCGTCTGGTAATCATTTTGTTGTCCCTTCCGACTTGTCACCTTGACCGAAAGTCTATGCTCTAGCTTACCTTGTTCATGGTGAAGGCGCTTTGTCCCAACGGAGAGAGCTTGTCGCAATAAATGCTGTAAGGGCTTCATTAATGGCGATGTGCAGTGGCAATAACTTTGCAGATTTTTGTCTGCTTATGTGGCTTGCCCTTCTCTTGACATGTGTCTTGATGTCATTGGTTCTTATTGTTACGTGGGGTTTCGGCAGTGCTGGGTCTTAGTATTTGAGTTATGCAATGGGCCCTAAGTGATAAACTTAGGTTTGTTCATAGTGGACTATACCTTTTATAGGTCTACCCATGTCAACTTCCAACCAATAATTGCATCAACCTCCAGAAATTCTTGAATGCAGGAAAGCTATTCCCAATGTAGGAAATCCATTCTAGTTGGTTCAAAAATATACATGACTTTAAAAACTACCAATTTTCTCTCGGTGTTTTACGTCCTATTTTTGAGCTTCCTACCATTTTCTTATTGTTAGTGATCCTATTTTCATCATAGAAGTTGATGATGTTAATTTCTCCATAGCTCGGATAGAGATCAACCACTTACAAAAGTAGGGCCGGCCCCGAGTTCGTCGGCCCAAGGCGAATTTTAAAAATGGGAGTCCTTTTATATTGAAAAAAAATTTATGAATAAAACGATAAGTTATAATTTTTTTATTTGTTTATAACTATAAAAAAATTTACTTACACATATAATCATTAAAATTATAAATAAAATAATTTAATAAAACAAAATTAGAACAAAAAAATTAGGAAAAAATTATTCAATTAAAATTGATAAAGACCTAGGTAAAAAAATTTGAGCAAAATTATTTATTCCACTAAAATTTGAAGCCCTTTAAATTGATCCCAAAACCAAAAAAAAAAAAACATTGAGCCTATAATATTTTACCAAATTTAGGCTTCGTTTGGGAAGCCATGGTTTGGGCTTTTTTTGGCTATTTTAGCCACAAAAAACAAAATAAGCTGTTTTAGTCATAACAAATAAAACATCACATCCAACCTATAATCATTACATTCTTCTCTCACAAAAAAACTCAAAAAAACCAAAAAGTCAAAAAACCTTCCCAAACCAAGCTTTTAAGCCCAGACTAAAATAGCCAAAAAATCCAAAAAGCTAAAAAGCTAACCCACTTCCCAAACAGATGCTTAGGGGGCCTATGATATATATGTTTATATGTTTTACCAAATTTAGGGGCCCTATTGTTTTTTATTTATTTATTTATATATTTTCATTTTAATACATATGGGCCAAACACATTTATAAATAAATATGAGTTAAATTATACATGGACCCAATAAAACATTTGAGGCCCTTTAAATTGATCTTAAAATAAAAAAAAAAAAATTGAACCTATAACAATTTTTTAAATTTGGGGGTCCTATTTTTAGGCCAAAATATGAGGCCTAAGGCACAAGTCTTACCTGCTTTAGGGCAGGGCCGGCCCTGTACAAAAGTCACAAAGAACTTCTGGAATAACACTGATGTAGTGTTAGCGCAAGATTATAAATAGTCATATGACGGGTTTGTAACTGATTTATAATAATGCGACTCATATTATATTAGAGATGGGACAAATTGAAAGTGGCAGAAGAAGAAATAGATTAATTTTATAAATTAAATAATGAGAATTATGAAAAAGTATCCCTTTATTTTAGTTTGATAGATGATTGTGGGACTTGTTTAGGCATTGTAAGCACGATTTTAGGAATGGTTGTAGTCCCCTTTCCAGATCAATTATCTTCTAACTAAGCTATTATGGTTGGTTGGCCTCTCCACACTATTTGGGATGGCCACTTTGGTTTGTTCCACTTAGCCAACTAGTATATATGATCCGCCTAACTACTCTAGTTTAGTCAGCCTCTTCGCCATGCTCATCGTTTGCTCTAATGGTCATGTTTATCCAAATAATAATAATAATAATAATAATGGTCTTGTTTATCCTCTACAAACGTTACATGATGAATTTGCAAGGGATAAAGGAAACTCATTGAGCAACCAAGAAGACGATTGCAATTGAGAAATGCTATTAACACCTCGTTTGGAAACATTTTATTTTAGTCAAAAAATTATTAAATTTATCAAAAAGTCAATAATTCATATCAAAAAGTCAAAAATTCTCTTTTCTTTTTACTTTTTGTATATCTTTTCGTAAAAAGCTAAAAAATTATCTCAAACATACTAATTTTTTAGTTCATATTTTAACTAAATAATCAAAAAATTACTAAATTAACCTGTTCCCAAACGAGACTAAGATAAAATTGTTTAGAGTACTTTAGTACTTTTCAATGTAAACTAGATAATCAAATTTGTGATTCCCCTATATAAAGTTTTTATTTTTTATTTTTTGAACTACCCCTATATAAAGTTAGAAACATGTTCTTTGCGCATGCAAATTAAACATGATCATCATGGGAAACTACCAAACAGAACTAACACAGCCCTTTTATACATTTCAAAATCTAAACAATCAATACAATATTCAAAACTTTTTCGAGTCATGAAACTAATCAGAATTTCTAATGAACCCCACGATTGATCATCTCCATGTATTTATTCAGAGACTCCTGTCTCTGCAACCTCATTTCCTCATTGAACTTGTTTATGAAAGCCTCGACTCGCCGGTTCAAATCATCCTGACTCAGCGACGGTTCTTTCCTCAGCTTCCCCGAGCCGGAGGGTTCCCTCCTCAGCCTCATCGGTCCCGGCGACGACTGTTTAGGGGAGGAGTTGGCCGTCGTGGTGTGGTTGAAGGTCTCTGATTTGGTCATTCTTTGGTCATGGTCTTCTTGTAGGTGGGCCACACGTCCATGTGTCTCCCACGTGTCGGACTTTCTAAGGTGCCTCGTCAGCGGCATCGAACGGCCTTCTGTTATCGTCTTCCACGTGCTTTCTAGCGTCTCCTGCCGCTTTGGCTTCGCTACTCTCAATGTCCTCCCACCTGAACACAACCAGCCATTGCAATGACATATCAGAAAATTATTGTTCAGACAAATTCCAAAGTGTGAATCCACATCACTACATCTACAGTGTCAAAAAATATTTCTGTTTTTTTTTTCTTTTTAAAGTCCAACTTACTTATAGTCAAATTTTGAGGAGTCGAAATAACCTGACATTATAGCCTCGTTTGGCATAACCTATATAATCCATCTTTTTATTTTTTTATCTTTTTTTCATCATATCACCTCTTTACTTTTTTACACATCTTTTCGTAAAAAGACAAAAAATACACTTTTTTAAGACACCCCAAACCAACCCTAATTGCTACGAGTAATTTAAGAGTGAAGATTTAGATCTTGTAAATTAAATAATGGGAATGGGAACGCATATCATAATCCTATTTCAATTTTATTATTTTTTTGATTTAGTAAGATTTTAAGAATTTTATAAAAATGATTGAATCTTACATTATAATAAATAAATAAAGAGATGTTAAAAAAATACCTTATAAATTTAGAAAAATAATAATGATTGAGATCTTATTTTTTTTGGGACAATTTCCTTTCGATCTCCATTATTACTTGACAGTCGTATTGACAAAAAATAATAATAAATATTAATTTAAATTACAAACATTATATATTTTTCTAAGGATATGACTTTTGACCAGTCTGGAATCGGATTGGACCGTATTGTTAGGTCTGTAGGGATCCACTACGGGTCCCATTTTAATAATCTGAACCGTTCAATGTGTAAAATTCGTCGAGTATTATATGTCTGTAAAAAATCACGTTAATCGAATATCGATAACTATATGATCAAATCAGTTTTTTGTCAATCGTTAATTTGTTCACTGTTCAATTTTTTTAATACGAAATTGATTTGATCACATAATTATCAATATATGGTCTTCTTGTAGGTGGGCCACACGTCCATGTGTCTCCCACGTGTCGGACTTTCTAAGGTGCCTCGTCAGCGGCATCGAACGGCCTTCTGTTATCGTCTTCCACGTGCTTTCTAGCGTCTCCTGCCGCTTTGGCTTCGCTACTCTCAATGTCCTCCCACCTGAACACAACCAGCCATTGCAATGACATATCAGAAAATTATTGTTCAGACAAATTCCAAAGTGTGAATCCACATCACTACATCTACAGTGTCAAAAAATATTTCTGTTTTTTTTTTCTTTTTAAAGTCCAACTTACTTATAGTCAAATTTTGAGGAGTCGAAATGACAAGACATATTTAATTGCTACGAGTAATTTAAGAGTGAAGATTTAGATCTTGTAAATTAAATAATGGGAATCGGAACGCATATCATAATCGTATTTCAATTTTATTATTTTTTTGATTTAGTAAGATTTTAAGAATTTTATAAAAATGATTGAATCTTACATTATAATAAATGAATAAAGAGATGTTAAAAAAATACCTTATAAATTCAGAAAAATAATAATGATTGAGATCTTATTTTTTTGGACAAGAATAATGCTTGGGACCCCCTTTTGGGGGTCAACCCCTCACCCCTTTGTCACGTGGTAGGAGGTGATTGGTGGAGCAGGAAAAAAAAGAAAAAGAAAAGGAAAAAGTAACCAATGAGAAAGAGAGGGGGTCAAAGAGGGTGGGAGAAAAGGGGATGAATCATTACTCTTTGGACAATTTCATTTGGATCTCCATTATTACTTGACAGTCCTCCATTATTACTTGACAGTCGTATTGGCAAAAAATAATAATAAATATTAATTTAAATTACAAACATTATATATTTTTTTTTAAGGATATGACTTTTGTCCAGTCTGGAATCGGATTGGACCGTACTGTTAGGTCTGTAGGGATCCATTACGGGTCCCATTTTAATAATCTGAACCGTCAATGTATAAAATTCGTCGAGTATTATATGTCTGTAAAAAAATCACGTTAATCGAATATCGATAACTATATGATCAAATCAGTTTTTTATCAATCATTAATTTGTTCACTGTCCAATTTTTTTTAATACGAAATTGATTTGATCACATAATTATCAATATCCGATCAACGTGATTTTTTACAGGCATATAGTACTCAACAAATTCTACACATTGAACGATTTAAATTATCAAAACAAAAACTGTGATGAGCCTCCACAAACCCAACAACACGATCCAAATCCAAACCGGACAGAAACATACCTTTTTTTCAAAATTACGCGGTGATTCTCCCTATAAATTTCTCCTTATAAAATATTTATAAAAAAAAAATTGTAGATATAATATGTAAGTGGAATGTTTTTAAAACCTGTAAAATGGTAAATATTTTCTTGTTCTTCTTACAGCCCGTAGAGAGATCCAGAGACTACGCAGATTCTGTGCTGCGGATTAGGATAGAACTTTCGTCACAAGTTCTGTTGTCGTTTTCTTCAATGTTTTCACGGATAGAATCGACGCTTAAGCTCAACAGTTACTGTAACACTATTGGGATTAAGCAAAGCGGACAGAGAAAGAGGTGTGTACCTTCAGGACTGGATTTCACAGCTTTCCGGTGACCAATCCTCACAGAAACCGTCGGTTTCTCAGAGGATGAAAGCGCATACTCCCTAGAATTCAGCTGCGGAGTCCACAACGATCTCGATAACGCTAGCTCCTCGCCGCTCATCTCCTGCGCCGCACGTATAGCTAATGTCGTCGTCGCCGTCTTCGTCTCTATCTCCGGTAACCGATCATCTTCGAGCTCGTACACATCAAACTCCGAACCTTTCACCACATTAGCATCGTAACCGTATTCAAACTCCGGCCTCACCTCCACCGAAGCATTCTTCACGTCGACACCGCCATACGCAACAGCATAATCCGCCCGGACCTTAATCGGCACCGGATTAACCTTCGTCTCCGCCGCCACCGCCGGCGGCGGCTTGTCGATGACCTTCTGCTGAAGCTTGGAAGACGCGACTATGGTGATTATGATACAGTTGATGACGACGTAGAGATATGGAGGCCTGAGCCACGACATCACAAAGCTCCAAATGGAAGGAATTTCAGAGATCGCAAACTCCATTACGATAGGAACAGAGAGCTTCAACACCATAGCCATGAACAGAACACTCGTTGTTATCAACACAACTTTGAGCGATAACATCCAATTACTCGAGCTTTGAGACAGAATTGCCATACTGAGAGAGAGGGGGGGGGAGAGTGTGTTCGATTTTGATCGGAACATAACTTTTTCCGGCGAGTTTCAGGTGAGAGAGAGAGAGAGAGAGAGGGGTTGATTGGAATAGAAAGAAACGATGGTACGGTATATATATATATATGCAAGGGAACTGGAGTTGGTGATTTGGGATTAAATTTGAGCCGTTGGATCTGATTTTGTCCAATAGAGTGGCAGTGACGGTCGCTTTGCCGCTTAAGTCTGTTTCAGTCCATTGCTTGGCCCACACAAAGTTACTGACTGTGGGCACATGGTCTTCCACATAGGCGAGGGGTGATTCTGATGACTACACGTGGCTTGTAATTATAATCTTGTGACATAAAGTGTTGAAACCTTATGGTAACGTGGCAATCAATATTATTGCTCTGGAAGTTAATTTATTTTACCTTATGTAACGTGACAATATAAAATTTTACCTTATTAATTATTTAAATTTATTTTATTTTTTAATACTAAAATAGTTACTTTTCATTTAGGTGGGGTTAGGCTTTTGTTTAAATGGTAATCTTAATTTGTCAAAAGATAAATGAATTACTTGTTCATATTCAATTTTTATGGATAAGTTCAAGAAAAAAAAAGATTGAATAAATAATCAATCTACATCCAATTGAAAAAGGAGAAGGAAAAAAAAATTAGCCTCTTTTACCTTCTTTTTATTTTTTTCATCTTTATAAATTTAAGACTCAACAAATGCTATAATAATGTTAAAAAAAAAAAAAACTTTTCAAATAAAATTTAAAGTCAAGAATGGTAAAACAATTCAACCCACACAAACTCACTAAAGTTTAACTAATTAAAAAATCCTATAATGTTAAAAAAAAAAAAAACCATTTCAAATAATATTTAAGACAAGAATGGTAAAACAATTCAACCCACGCAAACTCACTAAAGTTTAACTAATTAAAAATTTATTTGAGATTGATTGGTGAAATAAATAAAGAAAGCTTAAGCACAATCTAAATTATTATTTTGTTGTATACTTTAAAACTCAATTTAATAAGTTAATAACTACTTTAACATTGTATGAGAATCAAGTTACTTGAGTTAAATTATTGATCAACTTAATTAAAACTCATTTGAAATTGACTATAAAAATAGGCAAAACAAATTTAAACCCATTAACCCTCTTACTTTTTTTCAAATTAAATTTAAATAATCAACTACTCTAACCAGATCATTTTGTTTATCGGCCTATATTGCAATTTAGTAGGTTGTTAAATTAAATGGTTCTATAGATGGTTTCTTAACTTTGATGTTGGTTTTATTTATTTATTTATTTATTTATTATTATTATTAAAAAAATGATTTCTCAATCTCAATGTTGGAATTTCATTTTTATGTCTTGTTAAGTTGTTAAAAATAGAAAAAAGAAATATTTAAACTCCACAAATTGTTATGAAAATACAAACCTCAGGGGGCGGGATGTAATTTCCGAAACTTCAGGGGGGTATCTGTAATTTACCCAAACCTCGAGGGGTGTATATGTAATTTGCCCAAAAAAATAAGTAAAACAAATTTAAACCCATTAACCCTCTTACTTTTTTCAAATTAAATTTAAATAATCAACTACTCTAACCAGATCATTTTGTTTATCGGCCTATATTGCAATTTAGTAGGTTGCTAAAATTAAATGGTTCTATAGATGGTTTCTTAACTTTGATGTTGGTTTTATTTATTTATTTATTATTATTATTAAAAAAATGATTTCTCAATCTCAATGTTGGAATTTCATTTTTATGTCTTGTTAAGTTGTTAAAAATAGAAAAAAGAAATATTTAAACTCCATTTGGTCGAAAGAAACCTATTAATAATTTTAAGACTGCTACTTTCAACTGCATGTATGCTACTATAAGCTAACGTGGTTTAATTCTGATTCTTATTCATATGATCGATTGTCAAAGTCGGCAAGGAAGGTAGTTTTGGGCTGCCTTTTGTTGGATGAAGAGCCTGTTCATACCTAAACTAATCAAAAGAAAGGCCACATTATTATAATTGTTGTCTTAATGAAGTTGTTTGGATGTTCCACGAAGTTAAATCTTTCTTGGGTTTACTTACTTTATATAATATATTTAGAGAATCTAAAACTTTACATGTTCTATGCACATTTTTATATGAAATTGTCAGAACAACAATTGAATTATTTTTTAAAATTAAATCAGAGGATTTTCAACGGCCATTTCTTAATTAACGGCCGATACCTCCGGGGGCGCTGTTTCAGGATCTTCCTCGCAACAACAACGTTGGTGTGGTCCAATGGCGTTTTTGACTCTGCACATGATAGACAGCTTGGTATGTGCAGACAGAACAGACCACTCTTCTCAGCAAAAATATACATTTTATGAATTTAATAAAAAATAAATATATGGTACAAACTTGAATTCTATAATTAACTGTTAACTTAGATGTTTTGTTGTTTCTATTAAATTGATACTTGATATTTACTAGTGATTGCAGATATTTAAGATTTACTGTGTAAATACAAGTTTAAAAATTTATTACTTTAAAGAGGTTTCTCGTTATGTAAAAGATGAGTTTAGCTAATCCTAATAATGACAGTTCTATAATATATTTTCAAAAAAATAATATATATATACATTTTACACCTATATTGAGATTAATGACAATTTATTGAGCAGTCACAAAAACGTCACTAATAATAATTTAAGATAAAATTCCAAGGATTTAATCCCATAAATTACAATTATGTGCCCTTCTAGATTTGCATTTCGTTTCGTGGAGCACATAGGTTGTTCATGCCAGAATATGAAGTAAATCTTGTTGCCTCTTTAGCTGCACTCTAAAGGCACACAACACTTCTAGGGCTCAAGTGAGCTATTTATCAAAGCCTAGACCAAGTCAAGTCAGCTTACAATTCAGCTATATTCACCGCCAAGAGTTATATGAAGCCATACTATTAGTTGCCAAAGATGTTTGGAACATTGTTCATGTTCAATTTTATTAGTAACTCTAAATTGAGCCTAGTAATTAAGAGGTTGAATATGAGAGTTACTTTTTAGGATAGTTCTTAAAAGTCCTATAATTAATTCTTTTACAAAGTATAAAAATATCAAAACTTAATTGATACGTGTGATTTGTAAGTGATTATACGTATTCAGAATTTATTCGTAAGATTTTATATTAAATAATAAAGTGAATCAGTTAGAGTATTCTTCATCAATAAAATAAAATAAATAAGTATTTTAATTTGAGTTCCAAGCAAAACAAGAGGGAGAGCCATTGGGGAGGAACTTGTTTGCCAACCATCAGTTAGTTTTTCCCTAACCTCATGTACTTAAAACTAACCCTAGTAAGGGAGCAAATAAGCTCTTGCCATGAACACAACCTGCTTGTATACGCAAAATGAATTGTATATTATATTATATTCTATTGCATAGGTCAATGCCGATTCATCTACCAGAAATGTTTTTAAGTCAATTCAGACGGTGATCAATTTCCACAAATTCAGCACACATAACAAGCAATATACCCACAAATATATACAAGTATATATATATATATATATAGGGACACTTTGGGAAGCTGACTTATTTTGAGTCATATTACCTCTCACATTTTTTACTCACAAAAAGGCAAAAAGTCAAAATACCAACTTTTAACTAACTTCTCAAAACACTCCATATACGTGGTTCAAATTATTGCACCTTGCGTGATAATCAAGTGTATGAATCAGATGGTCAGAAATTAATTTAAGATCACTCACTGGTAATCCATCAACGTCGTTTACTCTTCCATTATTCAGCTGCTAAACTTGACAGGTAGTGAGACAAGTCTGATATTTTGTTTGATATCAGAGTGTCAAATAGAGATTTGATCGAAACACGCAAAGCTTATGAAAAAAACCATGATTGGCTACAGAGATTAGAAGGGTTTGATTGTGATTTGGAAAATGACAATTAATCACCATTGGGTTAATTTCAGACGTGTTAGGATGGCCGAAATGGGTTTTAAGAAGTCCATTGTGAAGAAACATTGGACCCAAAGTGATCTCAGATATGACTAGGCAAACCTTTTTGATGATGTAGAAAGAACAGATGGTCTAATCTAATGGATACTGAACTACTTTAGTGACAAAAACTATAATTAGTCTATGAGATTGGTTGTAAATGACACCTATAATTTATATTTAAAATGAATCTAAATTAGACTTCGACAATTTTGTCGGGTTGTAAAACTAATCAAATTACTAAAACTCAATTTGTGTTCGGCTTATTATGTGAATAAACCAAACATAAATATAATTTAAAATTGTTAAAGTTTCAAGTCCAGTTGAGTTGCGATATACAAACAAAAGTCATATATAAAATCTATACATAATGATATATCAAATTTATATCATTCATTTTAAATTAAAAGACACATAAAAGTAACTTGTTATTTCAAAACTGTCATCAACACATTCTTCTGATACACATTTTCTGCAAAAATCTTGTTTGCGAATCACTTTCTTTTAACTCCACAAAATTTGTTCAAAAAAAAAAAAAACCTCCACATAATTTAATTTGGACTGGTGAATTAGTCATTTGTCTCTGCATTCGATAGCCACATATATTGACTTGCAATTTAGTCTCATCTTCAACTTGTAGCTTTCAAATTTGATACTCAACTTCCTCCAACATACGATTTGTCCGTAGTCCCAATGAGTACTGACCAGTGATCACGCTTCCTTTCTCCAACAATACCAACTCGTGACCAATAATGTTTTTGTTTCCTTTTCAGAATTTTCTTTGCCATAGATAAAATTTTCTCCCTCAGTTTCATTTTGTATCTCATTCTCAACCACACAGGTTTCACGGCTCTCCGTCGACCAACCCTCCAAGACATGCCAAAGAAAAATGAGTTTCTTTGGTTTGTCCTTGTAACAAAAAAAAAGGGGAAAAAAATGAGACAAATCAAAAGGGACCATGAGATAAGCGAGGGAAAATGATTATCAATCAATTTAGACCAATTTATTACTCAACATACACCTAGCACATACAAATGAAGCCACCACCAAAATTAAAAAGAGATTGAAGAAAAAATGAAAGGAAAAAGAAAAAGAAATTGAAAACTGCCTCCTCTACATATAGTTTACACATAGGAAGCAACCTCCAAAATGCTAGTTTTCCTGTAAATATATTCCTTTATCGTGATATGACTAAACCCCCAGAATCACTTCCCTGGCGCCATCTCAGGATTTTGAGAACATCCCTTCTGTTAATGAAGAGAAATCGTAATCTTTTGCTGACTGTGTAGGAGTTGCAGATGGGATTGGGGATGCTGATGGTGTTCTACTTGTTCCCGCAGGTGTCACACCATTAGTGGAACAATTTTGCCCCACAGTACAAGTGCTGCAATAGAGAAACAGAACAAGGTAAGCTTTCTTTCTCAATACAGTTCCAAACATGCACATCTAAAGTACTAGTTGCAGGGAAGTTGCAGAAACTTCACTCATCGTCCTAGTATCAATACAAAAAACTGATGGAACCTTATTGGCGCTTGAAACATTTTACACAAACCTGTCAACATAACGAACTCGATACTTGATTAAGATGTCACAAAAATAGTGGATTTTTTTTGGGTGTCTTTCTTGGACACCTTCTATGGGTGTTTCTACAGTTGGTGTCACCATAAATTGAGCCATTCGAAATGTGTTTTCTTCACTGAAGTAGTTGGGTGTCTAAACAGTTAAGGGGTGAGCTTGTTGGTTGCTTAGTTGCAGGAAAAACCTACTGTGGGTGACAAAGTGATGTTTCCACTCTAAAATTGAGATTCCTCCCTGAGAGCAAGAATCAAGCTTAGAACTGCTTTTCCACCAGGATAGAGTAGTGGTTCCAACTGGGATAAGACTGCTTATATGAATCCCAAAAATAACCAAAAGAAAAGAAAAGAAGGGGAAAAAAAAAAAACTAACCAATGCAAAAGAAAATCTGTGGAGAACATTTACCTAGATAGTATGTGGAGTAAAAAGGGATAAATACATCAGAAAGAAATAAGGACAAAACATAGAAAAAATCAATTAGTGTCCAATTATCAATCTTTCTGCAACTAAGGTTGGTTGCTTATAGGTTGCACCCTATGACAAAGTAATGAATGTGTTTCCTTCCCAGAAGTTGAAGATGAGAAAACTGATGACAATTATTTTCCAGATCTTGTCTTTCATAGAAGCATTTCCATGGGAAAAATAGATGCCACATCATGCCAACACCAGATAAGCATTAAACATCCATTAAAGAACAGCAGTCAAAGCATTAGTGCTGCCCAAAATTGCTTTTAAATTATGTACAAGAAAGGAAAGCAAAAACCACATTTTTTAACTACATCACAATAAAAACAAAAAGTTTCAAATGCTAAAAAAATAAAATCCAATAATTTAAGGCATCAGGATGTAAGCACCCAATCAAACAATTGGTTGATGAACCAATCAATTGACCTATAAGATAGTACCTTGATGTTGGAAATGGAACAGAGCTCCCGACAGGACGTGTTTGTTCCATGTTTCCTATCTGGCTCAAAAGCAAAAATAGAAAAATGAGTGTTCAGAATCGATTCAATCAAGTAGCACTACAAATTGAAGTATTCAACCTGGTGCATGTATTTCTGTAGCTCAATATTTCCAGCAGCTGGCATCATCACCCCAGGAAACTGGTAGCCAACATTTGGCCAGTTTTGAGTGGGTAAGTTTGTTCCATTGGGCCCTGGTGGTTGTGCATTGCCAACAAACTGTGGCACCACACCAGCTGATTTAGCTGCAGCAGCCATAAGAAGGGACTGCTGCTGTGCCAACATAGCAAGTTGCTGTTGATGAACAGAAAATGGCGATACCACATTGGACTGCAAAACCAAAGAACTATAAGATATGATTTTCAAATGGTAGTGTTAGCACCAGTGATAAGATAAAACCAAAAGTAATGTTGTTGATCTCTACTGTTGTATATTAGACAAAGAAAATAAACTCAAAATCATTAAAGCGGCTCTAGTGTTCGGCCTTTGATGGGGTTTGAAGGAGCCAACACCACATCCAAATGGATTGAATTATCCCCGCCCAATAAGTCATAATACATACTGAACTTCATATTTTTTTTAAGGGTAAATTACAAACACACCCCCTGAGATTTACTTAAATTACAAATTACCTCTTGTGGTTTTAGAAATTACATTATGCCCCCTAAGGTTTTTAATTTCATAACAAATAGGTTCTTTTATTAATAAATCATAACGTTAATTAACAGTTTTTAATAATGTTAAAATTTTATTTCAATTAATAATTCAGATAATTTTATTATTGTATCGGTGAACAATTAGAAATTTCACTTTTTCAATTAATTCTGTTAAATAAAAAATTCTGACAATGAGATATTTGTAATTTTCCAAACCACAAGGGGTAATTCGTACTTTAAGCAAATCTCAGGGGTGCATTTGTAATTTACCCATATACATGGTCAATTAAAGTTTGTATAAGGAGTAAAATCCTGCGGTAGTACCTTATCAAAGAGGCTCATAATATCATTTTTAACATCTTTTTTAGGCTTCTCCAATACTGTAGAAGGTGCTAGTGAAGGGGAGTCTATAAAGAGATCTTCAATACCAGAAGTAGACTGGGTATTGTTATCCTCTGGTTTTGTAGAGACAGTTTTATCGGCTGTTGATCCTTCTGCAGCAGCTGCAAGTTGCCAAGAGTCAATGAAAAATTTAATCATTAGCACTGTTACTCCACCTCAACCATGGCTGTTACAAGAGTAGATACATTACTTCAATGATGTTAAAAATGAGGAAAACTTGGACATACACTGGAAACCTGCCCATGCATTATCATCAGCAGATGCTGCCTCTGAGCCATTTTCACTAGGACCATCCATCGAAAGCATGTCAAAAAGGTCAGTAGCAAAATCAACTTTAGGAGGAGAGACAGCTGGACTAGAGTCTGCTGCCTGCTTTGCTGATTCAGCATACGACACTACTGGTTCTGATTTCTGAATGATTTGTTGAGACTTTGGCGGTGGAATGACCTTTTTGTAAACCAAATAAGTCAGGCCAACAATCTCAAAGATTTTGGAAGACAAACAAACATGAAGGAAAAGGAGAACACATCAAAAGTATGCAAGAAATCAGCCAGGCAAAGAACTCAACATACTGATTCAGGTCCTTTAGGAGGTACAGGAATACTAATCCTTGTAGCAGGAACAGTCTCCCTCGTACTAGCTTGAAAGTTCTTCCTTTCCTCGGATGAATTTTCAGAATTGCTGGCATATCCATTCCCACTCCTATCCCCAGGTCTCTGCCACTGCACAGAAGCCTTTTCTTCTAGTGATCTAGAAGGCGACTTTGGCTGGCTGTCTTTAGCAACCCATCTCTTTTCTTCATACCTTCATTGAAATATGCAAGAGATGTCCACTTAAGGCTGAGCAGTTGTAAAATCAGACCGTAACAGTGCACTGTATTTACCAAGGAAAATGGGATAATAACGGTAAGAAAATGCATACTTTGCACGAATGAAATTCTCAATCCCAACTCTGTCGTAATTAGGGGGCAGCTCTGCTTCCCAATAACAATTTGCCTTCTCATTTCCCATTGCTGTATAGGAAAGGAAACCATATATTGAGTCACTTTTTTGTTATCTTGGACCAACATCAGCCTAAAAAATGAAACTGTACTCACACAGAAGCTTACATTGAATAAATGCAACCTGCTCAGGAAGCCATGTGTCCAGAGTAGCAGACCTCACCTGCAAAAATCCAGAAAGAACCCATTGATAAGTATGCAAATAATAATTGGCATTTGCTTAACCATGTATTTGTGTGCAGAAGTAAAAAATATTTTCTTCTTACCTGATAGGGTAAACCTAGCAAGGATTCAATATTAACCCAAAAGCAATTTATGACAGAATAATTGAAGGGCTCATGAATTTTTGATTCTGCATTATTGAACTTTAGATTATGAAGATTTAAGCATTGACAAACAAGCAACTTATCACAGGGATACGAAAGTTTATTTCCCATAACCCATGGCAACCACCTTCTCAAAGAGACCTTCCATAATGGAAAGACCAATAAGAAGCCAATGAAGAGAGAGAGAGAGCACCAAAGGTAAGGTTTCAAGCTGGAAAGTAATAGGTCAGGTTTCAAGTTGGAAAGTTGAAAAATATTACATAGTAATTTCCCTATTGCTAGTATCTATCATAAAACTTTCTCTGCTTTTCTTATTTATTTTTAATAAGTAAAAAACTCTCTACTTACTGGTTCTTTTGGCATTAAAACTAAGAAAAATAAACAGTGGAACTTTGAAGGGACCCAACCAATAGACAAACTTCACAATATTAAAGCGCACCACCAATGCATAAAGTATCACCTTTGATATGTGCACTCCAAGACTTCTGTGGATTCCAGAACATTGCATGCATACAAAGATGCCCAGATTCACACTAGCCCATCGAGGACCCCTGCATGAAATATTAGTCACTAACGGCAACTCGAAATACATAGAAATTATTTTTAACTAATAACATGTAGCTACTTGATGTCCACAACAGGACACCCATGAAGCTTAGGTCGCAAATCCTACACAAAGAGACTCATGTTCAAATTTCCTTACCTAACAAAAGGAAAAGAAAAACATGCAGCTACTTTATGGTATAACGTACTGAGATCAAGTTATTTATTTCTTCACAATTTTAGTATCAATATCAATTTTGATAGTCTCCAGATAACATACTTGCTTTTGCAGTCAGCACACTCCCTGTTTTCTGGCAATTTAAGAAGCCCTTCCAGTATCTGTAAATGATAAGGATCAGAAAATATTTGATCAATTATTCAAATAGCTGTAATGAAGCATTAATTCACTTTCTCATTCAATTAATATCCAATCATTACCCACAAAATTAACATATCTAAAATCAAAAAATCATGTTTTAACATTAATCACAAACTAACATAAAAAAAAAAAAAAAAAAAAAAAAAATGGACGTGCATATTGCAATCTGACATCAGAATGAGAAGTCAGCAACAGGTCAGAGGACTTTTTGCCTCCCTAATGAAGTTGCACACGAAAACCTGTTTTTATCAACTGGATGAAGCCAAAACTTTAACGCACCATGAGGATTTAAGGCCAAGTGAGAAGCCTTTGGCATAAAAATAAGTTCAGGACTAGTATTCACCTAAACCAAAGAATCTATTCATTTGGTTTTGATAAGTAAAATGCAAGTATAATAAAGGTGCCAGAAGAGGGCGCAATAAACTTGTAAGACAATCACATTCACAAGGCACAAAGGAAGTTCTAAACAACTAAGCTTCAAACAAAAAACTTATGCTAGATACAAGTCTACAAATTGACACATGAAATTGGGAAGGACCTCTTGAACCAAAAACAAAAGGATTCTCAAAGACCACTGATTGTACACTGCTACACACATACATCAAGTATGCATTATCAGCATACAAACCTCATCCGCAAGCCTTAGAGTTCAGACAAATCATCAAATTAATGGGTAGACAAGTAAAGCCAGCAATATGAGAAATCTAGCATCTGATCCATCATTATATTAAGCTCAGAAACTTATGGCAATGCAAGACAATCACATACAGCGGGGACTTGGACCTGTTTGGTCTTACACTTGACACTTATTAAAAACTGAAAGCTTTCTTTACATCAAAGATGTAAGAAGCAGGAATGCTAATGAACTATGTAATTTTGCCAATTTGATTAATATACGTTCATAAAATTCATTATTTTTTACTATCTCTCTCTCTGTCTCTCTCTCTCTCTCTCTCTCTTTTTCCCCTCTCCTCTTCTTAAATAACTTCTTAACTACGGGCCATGTTTTCCAAACAAGCACATGGTGAAACATAAAGAAAGGTACAAACATAGTAAACCCGCAAACATAAACATCCTAAAGCCATATTTGTTTGTCCACATTTTAAGTGGTTTCCAGGTCTGACACTCTGCTCATATCAAAATGCAATATTGTGTCCATAACTCAGTATCCACGAAATATAAAAGTTGAGAAAATAATCAATTTGAATGCAAAACCTACATAGCATGTGTTAGTGTTATTAGTGTAATATTAATGTAACACAGCTGCACTATCTAGCTGTCCCACTCATGTTGTTGTATAACTAATGTTGTATCTTTATGCTTACGGTGGGTTAGCATCCAATGTACCCTATTTACTCTCTATAAATGAGAGTGTTGTAAACCACTGAAATACATCTATCAATACATACATAATTGTTTCTCTCTCTCTTTTCCTATACATTAATTCTAACATGGTATCAGAGCTATAAGATTTAGGCCTGTATTTCTTTCTCACCGGCGGGCAGCCGGTCGACAACTTTGCTTTCGCTGCCCGCTGGAATTTTCTACACATAGCTTCGAGTTCTTCGCCATCAACGGCGGCAACATACTTCCTGAAAGAGAGACAGACAGGACAAGCTTGAGCCATGGCACCACATTCTCTACACAGACAGGTGCCGACACGGCAATACACCCACCGAAGCAACTCGTTCTCGACACGCCTTGCAACTCGGTCCACTCGCCTCGATCCACTCGCCGCCTCGACTCGGTCTGGATCAATGTAAGCCGACTCGGCGTCCTCCGGCTATGCGCCGCCGCCCGTTATGACTTGCTGAAGCTGAGCTTGAAGCGACACCGCCGTGGCTTCTTGAGCCTGCGCTTCCGCTCACAGCTGAGCAGATTGTGGAATGAAACTGTTCTTCCAGATAGTTTGTGAACCGCTATGTTCATCAAATCCTCTAACAACAGTGAAGTGGTATCTAGTGTTCACTTCCCTCTGCATCGTATTGTCTCAGCTCCCAAACCTCCCGTCACATGTTCCCCACATTATTTCCTTTTTCACCCCCACATCATTATTATTTTCATTCCACAGCTTCAGGAACCATCAGTTTGATCCCACTACCCTCAACTTTATTAATTGCCGATGCCTATGAACTGGAGTGACATGGCAACTGTATGGAAGATAACTCCATACACCAACCAGACCACATTCTGCAACGAGTAACAACAGAACAACACCAAATGGAGCACCAGCCATGGACGACCTTCAGCACACCAGCCTAAATCATTCTGACCAGCTAGTTTAAACAACCCCTGACAAACGAACCAGCACCAGACGAGTATACAGCCGTATATTGTTCTCGTCGCTGGTGGGTTATCTTCGGCTGTGGTTATTCAGGTTTGGAGCTGATAGGTGGTATTCTGCTGGGTTTTGCTCTCGGATTACGCCGTTCACCTCCGGTGTAGGGTTCTGATTGCATCACTGGGTTACTCACAGTTTTCTTCACTACCACCTCACTGGGAAATTCATTGGTTCTCAATAATCAATTCATGTGTGACAGTTCTCCTTTCATTTGGTTTTCTCGCTACAATTCTCATGCGAATCCTGAAAAATGATTTTGTTAAGTATGCTCATGATGAGAATTGCCATGCCGGTGATCTTGACAACATCACAGTTGGTGCAGATGGCACTACATGTTTCACCATTATTGACAAACAGATCCCTCCTCGGGCGAGCACTTAGCCGCCTGCTTCGTCCTTCCCGGCCAGTGTAACACCTCCATCCGTCGCTGCACTAACGCCGTGCCGTACTTGCTTTGGTGCTACTGTTTTTTTTTGCTTCACTGTGTTGCTCCAACATGCACTTTATGATGAAAACATTTTTTTTAATCAAACCACTACCTCTCTCTCCGGTCCCTTTTCTCTCCACCAGACCCACTTTAATCATATCTATCATTTCCCTTAATTTATTCCACCCACTGTCTCTCTATGGTCCATTCCTCCCCACCTTTATATCTTTTATATGCAGCTGCTCCCACCAGCGCACATGCTTTCCCCATTAATACATTATTATTATTATTATTATCATTAAAAAAAAAAGAAGAAGAAAAACAAATATTCCAAACACCATTACTAGATTTAGCAAAACCGTGGGCCCCGAAACCACGTGAACCACTTTCCTTATTTCCCCACTCTTTCGTTTTGATTTCAAATATATTCTTATTATTTCTTTCTTTATTTTTCTTTCACATTATTTCTAATCTTTTTCAAATCTCATTCATACCATATAGATTTGCACACCAAACCTTATTTTATTCATCTCAGGAATCTACTCCCATCCTCGTTCTACACCAGATTATTTTCCCACTCTTTCGTTTTGATTTCAAATATATTCTTATTATTTCTTTCTTTATTTTTCTTTCACATTATTTCTAATCTTTTTCAAATCTCATTCATACCATATAGATTTGCACACCAAACCTTGTTTGATTCATCTCAGGAATCTACTTCCATCGCGTTCTCACCAGAGAGTTACAAAAAAAAAAAAAAAACCCACACAACCCCGCCAACCCACAAACACCCACCCACAGGTGGGATTTTTTCCTTATCCCTTCTTTACTCTGCCGTCGGTCTCTTCTTCTTGCCTCCGTCCTGGGCGGCCCTTGACGGTGCTGCCTCCGTGTTTCCCATGCCGCCGAGTCCGTTCACTCCCCCTTGCTCCTCCATCGCAGCATATGGCGGACCTCCGAATAGGAACATAACGGTGGCCTTCCGCTTCAGCTCCTTGTTTTCCGCCTTTAGCACACATATCTTTGCTCGCGTATCCTTATACATGCGCTGGAGCAAAGCCAGTTGGGCGTTTAACTGCTGCATCTCATTTGTTCTACTCTGAAGCCGGTGCGACAAGTTTGTGACCGCAGTCATGGTCTCCACACATGACTTCAATGTATACTGATTGGCCTCAATATCCGATTGCGTTGCCATTATTTGCTCCACAGATCGCATAGGAAAGTTCAACGGAGCAAAACAAGGGGCGTTTGGTTGAGGTTCAAGGGCAACCGCACCGGTTATCTCTCTTGTGGACTCGTTGAGGTCTGGAAAGAGAGTGAACAGACCACGGGAAGAAGAGGCCATGTTTTGGGTTGCTAAGTGTTTCAGAGTAGCAGCGATTTCAAACTGGTAATGTCAGAAAGGGTTGATTGCAGAGTGTTTCAGAACGAAGATGTTCAGAGGCTTCAGACTAGTTTGGTTTGCACAGACTCCGCCTCGGTTTATATAGAGAATGACGAAGAGGACGACACGATGCTCTGTCGATCACGTGCATCACCATGTGTTCGGCGCAACTTTTGATGGCTCGCCGCTCTACGCTTTCTGTCGGGCACGACTTTTGATGAAATGGGCGCGCCTTTTGAGGGCGCGACTTTTGAGGGCTCGATATATATATATATATACATGTATATCTTTTGGGCAGCCTATATACACAACCACACAGTGTCCTCTACAACGGTCCGGCATGACCCCGTAAACTGTTCCGACATTGATTTCGGTTAGCTTCTACATCGGTCCAGCATGACCCCGTAAACTGTCCCGACATTGATTCCGGTTAGTTGCTAAAACGGTCTGACACGACCATCCAGTGTCTTCACCAACGGTCTGACACGACCATACAGTGTCTCCTATCCTATTTTATTTTGTTACTCTGTCCAAACTCAAGTTGGTTAATGTTTATCCTCCTTGAGTTTGAGGGGGCTGTTAGTGTTATTAGTGTAATATTAATGTAATACAGCTGCACTATCTAGCTGTCCCACTCATGTTGTTGTATAACTAATGTTGTATCTTTATGCTTTCGGTGGGTTATCATCCAATATACCCTATTTACTCTCTATAAATGAGAGTGTTGTAAATCACTGAAATACATCTATCAATACATACATAATTCTTTCTCTCTCTCTTTTCCTATACATTAATTCTAACAGCATGTAACTCCCAAGAGAATTTCACCACCACCACCATGACACATATGCGCAGATATGATAATTAGTGATTAAGTTACAGTTTATGGAAAAATCATAAATTTAACATCCAGAAATAATGTTCAATCCATGGATGATCCCAGAAACATATTGAAAACTTAATTTGGAAAACCAGAAATTTCAACATCAATCAAATAGAAGATCCCTGATCAACAATCCCAATTGATCAAATCAATCAAAAACCAATACTATTAGATCAAATCTATGTGAAATCGAACAAAGCGTAGCAAAATAGGGTCTAAATCCAAAATTGAACAAATAATGAGGTTGTGAAAAAAGTGAAACCTTTCGCTGCTTGGCATTGAGCTCTGTGCTAACGTTGGCCTTCTCGTTCATGGTAATTGATGATGCGCACAGAGAGTGGAAACAAGAACGAAAGAGGAAATTTGTTGGAGGTGAAGATGATGAAGAACGATCGGTGGTCTCTGTCTCTCCTTTCTCTCTCTATCTCTATCTAAACCGTCCGATTCTAAGACTAAAATAGAGAAGAGGAGGAGGAGGAGAAGAATGAAACAGCGGATTCTTGACTTTTTGTTGCCTCAGACTCTGTTCTTCTCTTGTTTCTTTGTGGGGGCGTGAGGCTATGTTCGTGTGAGCGAAACTGTTGGTGGATTTCGTGCGCTCTCGCACGTATTGCGTGGAGTGTGATTTGCGGTTGATCAACTTTTGATCGGGGTCCACGCGTAATTTGAGAATACAGCTACCTTCAATTTATAAATAAAGATTAAATAAATAAATAAAACAATAATTTATTTTTTTTTTCTTCTAAACCTACACAAATTTACATGTGTACGGGTCTCATACCCATATAAGAAGTTTAGTAAAAAATTTAATAAATTATTTGAAATCCTTAACATCACTCAAAAATAAATTAGGTAAAATTACACTTTAACCTGCTAGATGAAAAATATTTGGTGGCTTGAATTTGTGTGGCTCGAATGATTCGAATGTGTTAAAACGATGTCATTTTATACTTAAAACAATATCATTTTGAATATTTCGAACCATTTAAGGCATAAATTTTCAGATCATTATCATTGTTGCTGCTAGATATCTTGGAGATGACAATCACCATCTTTGGTCTCTAAAATGCCAGTGCCCTTCCCTTAAAATCTTCATAACAAATTTAGGATTGTTTTGAGGATTAACTTTTTTTTTAATGATTTTTTAATATTTTACAAAAATACATGTAAGAAAATAGAGGGCCTAATTGATTTATTTTTTTGGTAATGATTTTTTTACTAAAACTAGATATTTCCAAAATAGGTCTTAATATATTAACTAATTACAGAAATGATAAGAAGTAAAATAATTGTGATTTTTCGGTATTGTTTATGGATGAATAATAAATAAAATATGATACATGTATCATTTTTACTTTCATGGCATGTTTGATTGATGGGATTAGAGTATGAGATTGAAATTATTAATCTGTGGACCCAATAATTCTGTGTTTGTTTTGAAATTTTGTTTCAGAATTATTAATCCAACAAATTTGTAGGATTATTAGTAATGGAGTAGGGATGCGATTATATATCTTGAGTTGGGAAATAATAATAAAAAAAAAACTCTTTTACCATCGTATGTTTTCTCATCCAATGCAAATAAAACAATAGATAAGGGGATAAACTAATCTAATTGGATAGTGAATACCACACTAATTTGATGAGATTATTAATACCTTTATTATTAGTCTTGTGAATCAAACATGACCTCAATGTTTTGTATTTAGATAAATAATTATAGGTATTTTGACAAGATTTATAAAATAATTTTTATTTCTGATTAAACTTCATCAAAATGAGTTATAATAAAAAAGTTATGTAACTATGTTCTCTTAATCTCTCATAATTTTTTAATAACGAAAATGATTGGTAGCTCGAAATTCGTGGCTCGATTTTGGCTCGACAGCCCAAAACGATTGTTTTTTTTTTCTTCTTCTTCTTCTTCTTCGTCATGCTGGTCTGAAACAGAGGAAGAGGAGAGAGAGAGAGAGAGAGAGAAGGCAGGTCGTCCGTCGCAGCCCTCCGCCCGCCGTCGCAGCCCTCCGCCGTCGCCTCTGCCCGATCGTCGCAGCCCCGCATCTGCCGATCGTCGTCGCAGCCTCTGCCTCGCAGCCCCCGCCCCCCGCCTTCGCCTCCAGCCCGATTTGTTGGGCCCCTTCTAGTCCTCCTCCTTCCTCCTCCTCCTTCCTTCTTCTGAAAAAAAAAAATTCAAAAACAACATCGTTTTTTGAATTAGGGAGATTCGGGGGCTCATTCGAGCCAAAAATCTCGAGCTACCAATCGCGATCGTTTTAATAATTTTCACCTCCTTAATCGTTCAAACAAATTATGCTAATTTTATTTCTCTCCAATTCCATTATTTTATTCTTAAATCCTGCGATTCAACTTAGACTTTTCTATTATAAAATAACTTCAGAACAAATTTCCCAATTAAATTGTTCAAATAGGAAATTTTATTTGAATCATATAATTAAAACAACTTTGAATTAGCCAATTTTATAAGAGAGTCAATTATTGCCAATAATAAATATTGATTATTCTTCATCCATTATGAGATGGTAGGTAGCTATTTATTTAGTGTCAAATTTAGATTATTTATGGTTGAATTTGTAGCTATGCCTTGTTAGACTCTAATTATATAATGAGTAATGTTAGGAATCTCAATAATTTATTAAATATTTTACTAAACTTTTCATATGGGTGTGAGACCCACACACATGGGATCCACACAAATGTGAGTTTGTGTGAGTCTCATATTCATGTGAGAGATTTGATAGAATATTTAATAAATTATTTAGGATCATAGCATCTATACTATATATATAACCAAATGTAGTTGTATTGGCAAAAGTCTCCAAATATTTCCAAATATTTATTATTAAATTCTCATAATTTTAAAACTCTCTTTTTCCTACGTGGCAACCCTCTTTGATTGTTTTTCATGTTTTCCATTTTCCTCCATTTTTTATTTGTTTGATTAATTAAAATGAAAATTAATTTCATGGTTTATGGGTAAATAAACATATAAAAATTAGTAAATAATTTATGAAAATTAATTTCATGGTCTATAGATAAAGATAAAAATTAAATAACTAATTTAAAAAAATTAATTTCACAACTTATAGATAATTTAAAATTTCTTTCCAAAAATGAACTTATAAAAATTGATAAATAACTTATAAAAATTAATTTTATGACCTACAAATAAAGGTTAAAAAATTGATTTAAAAAAAAATAAAATTACTCCTTTTTTTTTTTCCCTTCATTTTGTAGTAGTTGTATTGGAAAAAGTCTCCAAATATTCATTGAATGTAATTATTTTCGCATTTATAATTAATCGGATTTAAAAAGAAAAAAAGAAGGCCCATCTAAAAAGAGAAGGGGCCCGGGCGTTAACTGTTTATGGTCGTCAACTGGGCCGATGGCCCAATAAATGGTTTGGTTCGGGATTGGAACGGGTCGGTCCAGGTACTAATAAGAAAAATCTGAAAATATTTTTGGTCGGGAATGATGGAAAGGAAATTTCTCTCTCTCTCTCTCTCTCCCTCCGGACGCCGCACTGAAGATTGTTAGGTTTCCGACCAAAATTGTAAGTTTCTGTGTCCTTCAAATTCCAGGTACCGTTTGTTCGCCGACAAACTTCAGAAAAGAAAACAAGAGAAATTGTTCTGTTGAGTATTAAGTTTTTCATTGTTTGGGCCCCGAGAAAAAAAAACCTCAATTACTCTCCCTGGATATCAAATTGAAGATAACAAGAAGACTTGCAACTTCGATTTTGTTCCCTTTTTCCTCTATACTATTGCTAATTGAATACAAGAGGGTTTATGTTATTGGTTACTTCTTTAATAACAATGTACTTTTGGTAGATTATTCTTTCAAATTAATGGTTTTTTTTTTTAAAATTTTTTTATTGTCATGTTTTTGTTCTTTTGCAATTTCAAGATTGTTAAATCATATCAAATTTAATTTAGGCAGGTTCGCTGCAAAAATGAATCCACTTGAACAATTTAAGGACAGCAATTCTCATATTCGGCCCCAAGAGCATACCGCTAGCCCTCAGGCTAAAGATGGATGGAAGAAAATGGGATGTGAAGAAAAGAAGGCAGCAGTTCATGAAGAAATGAAGAGAATGAACAAACTTCCTGCAAACAGCACATATGCAACTCATCGTTTGCGGGTTCTCAACAAAATCCTGCAACTTTTGTCCATTCAGGTACACAAACATAAAGCCATTTTTGTGTATATATATATATATATATGTTTTTGGTATAAATTTTAAGTTCATATTAATGCTTTTGTAGTTATTTTGTAATTTTAAGTACTTGATTTCTTGATGTAGGTTTGAGTATTAGATTAACTTGGAGTTTGTGTAAGAGACCGTGAGGATATTTTGGGTATGTATGGTTTGAGTTTGGGAGATGAGTTTTAGAGATAAAAAGTACGAAAAATTGTTTGGTTTGATTTTTTTTAAAAGATGTTTTGGAAAATTATTTTGAGAGAGAGTTTTGGAAAAAGTAATTGATTTGATGTGTATGAGAGAGAGATTTGTTTGGAAAACTTGTAAACCAAACAAGTTTTGGGAAATTTTTTTGGAAAAATTTGTTTGGTTTGATTATTTTTGAAAACTTATTTGTAGAGAATTTTTCCCAAAAAATTTTGAGAAACACAAACCAAACAAGACCTTTGACTCTTTACATTTTTTTTTTTTTTCCAGTCAGGTGCATAGCAGTCTATAAAATTGCTCTTGTTGACTGGCATGCTGATATGACTATTAGGCCCCGTTTGTTTTGGGAGATAGAATGGAGGGATTGATAGTGAGGAGATTAATAGTAAGGGGATTAATAGTGAGGGGATTGATTTGGAATAAGGTGATGACAAATTCTGTCGACTTACTACTATTATTTATTTTTGGTAAGCAAATTGTCAACTGGATTTTGCTTTAGCTTTAAATGGAAAATGCCTGCTCTTTAAATTTAAAACAAATTGGATTAGAAAAGGCATGCATTTAATGATGAATCAACTTTGTTCATTTATCTTTCTTCACTTCCTTTGTCCACAGATATGAAACTGGGGACCATGTCGGCGTGTACTGTGAGAATGTGATTGACATTGTGGAGGAAGCTGAAAGGTTAATGGATTTATCACCAGATACAAATTTCTCCATTCACACCGATAAAGAGGATGGCACTCCACTTGGTGGTAGCTCATTGCTGCCTCTTTTCCCTGCAAATACTTTGAATTGCCACTCTTGTATTTACATACTAGCTTTCAATTCATTGCATAGAATACATTGTTTTTTTCCATAGGTTATAGAAGGTGGAGAAATTACTCAATCCAGAAGCTATAAAGAACTGTTGATGATTGGTACAACATTTGAACAGCTTGTGAATGCTCACAAAAGTTCAATTCCAGTCTTGGATCCTACAATTGTCAAACTATATTGATTTTCTAATTTTTGTATGGTAGTGGCTTATTAGATAATATAAATATTTTTAAAATTTTTAATTACTCTCTTATCGATTGATAAAAATAAAAAATAAAAGTCAAAAGATCTATAAAATTAGGAGTAAAATGCTGACCAGATAAAATCCAATGGAAAGTAAAGTATGCAAGTTGTTCTATAGGAACTCAATCAAAGAATCTGATGTGTGAGGTAAAATCTTATTACTCATTTTGATGTGTGATGTGAAATCTTAATGTTCAGTTGATCAAACTGAGCCTATACATCATAGGTGAGTATTCAAACCATTGGAACTCATTCAAAGAATCTGATACGTGCACTGCGGGAAACTGAGCCTATGGCTTGTTGAATGTTACCATTGTGTATAGTCCTAACCATGCATGCTATTGCCTTCTGTTTGAAACATGCGTTGTAATAATATTTTAGTCCTAGTTTCTTGTAATTTCTGTTACCATAGGCACATATACATGATAGACGAATACCCACTAGACTAAAAGGTAGGTTTTATAGAACGGCTATTAGACCATCTATGTTGTATGGGACGGAGTGTTGGGCAACCAAGAAACAACATGTAGATAAGATGAGTGTGGCTGAGATGAGGATGCTAAGGTGGATGTGTGGTAAGACTAGACAGGACAGGATTAGGAATGAGTGTATTCGGGAATGGGTAGGAGTAGCACCGATAGAAGATAAGTTGAGAGAGAATCGTTTGAGATGGTTTGGTCATATTCAACGGAGACCAACAGAGGCAGTAGTGAAGAGATGCGATGCTGTAACGGTAGATGGAAGTGTTAAGGGACGGGTTAGGCCTAGATTAACGTTGACTAGTGTTATAAATAGAGATATGAATCTACTTTATTTGACTAATGAAATGGCCTTTGATAGGGCCGCGTGGAGAAGAAAGATTCATGTAGCCGACCTCATTTGATGGGACTTAAGGCTTGGTTTGGTTTGGTTTGGTTATCCTTATCATACCTAGTACTGATTGAATTGTTTTTGGGATGCTATGGTGTTTTCTTAAAGTTCATTATGTCTTATGGTTTCTACTGTTCTTAAAGAAAGTTTTAAGTTTTCATGTCATGCTATATATACTATTATATAAAATGTACAACCTATTTGGTGTGAACACATTTTAAATCATCGTCATACTTTTTTGGTTTCCCAAAAATGTCCACCACAATTTATGAGTTTGAAAAGTGCTTATGTGAGAAAGCTCCCCATATGAAAAATTTAAACTGATTCAGATATTTTAAATTCCACAAACATGGATGGTTTCTATTCATCTTTTTCATTCATAAACTACTAACCTGTGCATGCGCTATGCGTATGCACATCCATTGCATGTTCACCCGCCACTAGTGTAGCTTATGTTCTCATTAAATTCTTGAATAAATGATTTTTAGTTTTTTGGTGACTCTTGTGTTTCATTCATGTTCATTGGTTCTTGTGGATTGATGGATCCCTATTGTTCTTGAAGTCAATGCGCTAATTTCAATATATGAGGCCATTTCAGTGTCGTATGTATCACTGTTGAGAAGTCAAATGCTCTAACATCTAGTGTTTGTTGAGTTTTAGAAGATGTTACACTAATAAAGTAGTAGGTTAAATTGTAGGATGCATTCCCCCAAACCCCTCCCCCCCAACACCAAAAGAAGAACTAAAATTTTAGATGGCAAGTTTGTTAAATCTATCTGAAGAATATACATTGCTCATTCATGTTTCCCTTATACATTAATCTATATAAAATATGGAAAAATGATTCTCTTTCTCCCCCCTCTTATCCTTTCTTTTATTCTAGAGAACTACATCACAGGAGGAGGAGTTGGACCTGCTTTTTGCCGGGCTGTCGATCTGATCAGAAATCTAGAGGCAGTGGTTGGTTTCAATTAATTTGGCATTGTTGGTTCTAGTTATCATTTCCAAATTGTGATTTGTGTAACAGCTTTTGTTCCTGCAATAATTACTTTTCTCTGGATATTCTAATTTATCATTTAAATTTATTGCGGAATATCAGGTCATGGATGTGTCATACCAAAGTAGTCTGGCCAAAAGCTTGCATAAAAATGGGAGAATGCTCACATCTCTAGCATGCTTAGATGTAATGCTTGTGAATACACCGTGTAGCTTACTCCAAGACATACTCTGTAAGTTTGATTTGAGCAAGCATTTTCCTTTTTTGTTCAACTCAACAACCACTGGGATGTTTAATGTGAGACCCTTGGGGAAACAACTTTATAAATTATGGTTGGAAACTCTTTCGTTTTGTTTCTACTTTGTAATTTCAGTTACTATCGTTGATTGCTTAATTTGGTGCTTGGTGGAAACATGTTTCTATGGTCACGTTGTTGCAATTTCAATCATATGATATATTTACTTTTGTTTCTCGTTTGTGGCTATGTTGTCACAGTGCTGTTCAATTCATGGCTGGTTAGGTTGGCCCACTGGTGCAACTCTTCAGTGTAAATTAGTTGACCATAGTAGATTGTTTGAAATGTTAATCAAGTGATTTTTTGACACTTCTCTACTCTACCGAATTTGATAAGATAGCGTTGTCTTGATTCGTGTAATTTGAGAAGTGACAAAGGTTTTTTTGAATAGTTGGATTGCAGATGGAGTTGATCTGTGCTGAACCATTTTTTGGACTTTTGTCATCTTTTGAGTAATGTTGATTTATGGTTGATATAGGTGTTTTGTTTTCCCTCATATAGTGTGCATGGATGGTAACCCCTTGTACTTTATTTCATTAATCTTTGCTTATCAAAAAGAAAAAAGAAGGGACTGAAAGACATTAGATTTGAAAAATTAATTTGTCGTCATATTTTTTTATTGTGTAATGTTTAAGGATTTTGGCATTTTGAATCTTGAAAAAGCGAAATGGTGAAACTTGGTTCTTATAGTCGACCTCCAGTAGGGTGGCAAACGTATTGAATTGTTAATGGATGGCTCATACTTTGGCTCGTTCAAGCTTAGTTCGTTCAGTATATGAAATGAACGAGATCGAGCCACATTCCTACGCTCGTTTAATAATTGAGCCGAGTCTGAGCTGACCATGGCTTAGCTCAAATAGGCTTACGATCCAGGGCTATATAACTTTAAAAATTAGGTTTCTTTCTCCCATCTATTCTTTACTTCTTTATTTATTAGTCTTACATAGCCTCCTGCACTGCAGGCCCCAACATTCAACCAACATTTGGCTAATGTTTCTTTCAATCGCATCAAAGCGAGTCACTGCCTCATTGGATAGAACACTCAACCATAACCACTCAGAGCACTCACAAAGACATTTCTTTGTTCTGGAAAGATTTGAGACTGGGAGATGGTTCTTCTTTATTCAATCCATTGTCGTGAGTTTCCTCTTCCTTTTTCCCATTCTTCCTTTTCCTCTTCTTCTTCATTGCTAGAGTGAAAATTTCTCTTCACAGAAACTTTTCTTTGTTCTGGTATAATCAGATAGTTTGTTTCTCTTATGTTTTTCCCCTTGTGTTCAATCTAAAAAAATTAGGTCCTCAAGTTACTTCAAATTGCTGAACCAGTTGAAACTGGTAATTTCTAGGGCATGGACTGGGCTTATACTTTATAGGGCATACCTTCATTTTTCTTGTAGTTCAAGATTTTAATATCTCTTTTGTTGTTGTAGGGAACAAGGTTGAATATGTAGGCATTTCTTTATTCTGTTTGATTTTCCAATGCATTTATACAAATTTTTTTGTGCAATTAAAAAGCAAGTGAAGAATCAGATCGTGTTGTTCTTTCAAAGTGATGTAATTTACTTGGGAGCTTTTAGTTTTCAAATGAGGTACTATTTTTTCTATATGCCTTCTTTTTTGTTTGTGAGATGGAAATGGAATGTACAAGTAATCTTACATGGACTTAGGTATGAGTATTGAGTACGGGTAAGTGTTAAAGCTTTATTTCTTCTTAAAGTTAAACATTAAAATATTTGGATATGTAGAACATATCCTGTACATATCCTGAACACTTGTATATATATTCTTAGATATTATGATGTAAATTTTTTAGAAATATACTTTAAATTAAATAGAAATTTAAGAAAAATATGAACTTTCTATTTTCCATCCATGTCATGTGAGAGGTAAGAAATATTTTTTTGTTAGCAACTGTGAGCTTCTTCTTCTTCTTCTTCTTCAAACATTATATGAATTAAAGGTACTAACTATCTAAATGAGGTATTGATGTCTGAAGCATATCCTATATCTTTATCCTTGTTATATTGGGTAGACATGGATTATTGTGGTGGAAATAGAAGAGTCCATTTAAGCACAAGTTATTTATGCTTATTTTTTGTGTATAAGGTCATTGAGATGGAATGGTATACATGTTATGTTACTTGAGTATTTTATTTTTTATTTTTTGGTTTTATGGTTTATGATCATTGGGATGAAATAGATGCATTGTTTATGTATTTCCTTTTTTTTTTTTTTTTGAGGAAAACCTTAAGCAGATATATATTAAGAGTGTACAAATACATAATCAGAATTAGACAACCTGTGTAACCACAGCTATGTAAGGGTGTTATAATTTATTCGGTGGTATATTGTGTCCAAAAATAGATTGAGATAGTTTGGTTATATATAACAACAGAGACAATAGTGAAGAGATGCAATATATAGTGACGGTAGATGGTAGTGTTAGGGGTAGGGGTAGGGGTAGACCTAGATTGACATAGACTAGTGTAGTAAATAGAGATATGATTCTCCTTAATTTGACTAATGAAATGGCCTTTAGATAAAGTCGAGTGGAGAAGAAAAATTCTTGCAGTCGATCCTATTTAATGAGACTTAAGGTTTTGTTTGGTTTGGTTATTGTGTCTAAAATAGATTTGTTGCATATAATCAATTTTGGTGCACTTGTTGCGAAGGTGGTTAGTGAAAATCTCTCTCTCTCTCTCTCTCTCTCCTCTTCGTTTTGAGTAGGTTTAACTGACAAAGGGACTGACTTGCTTGATATTTTTTTAGCTTTATTTATGAGATTCTCTTGTGAACTAGCTTTCCAGGAAAGTGTCATATGTTCATATCTATCTCTCCCTCTTTCCTACTTGATATTTTCTCTAGCTTTACTTGTGTTTCCAAGAAAGTGTAGTTTTTGGTTAGGAAGAAAGTGACACACTGTAACGGCCCTCACTCTACTCTAGTCATGCTTGCATATATTACATGATCTTGTCTTGATATGTTGCATTTTGCAAACCTTATTTTGATTTGCTTAAGAGTTTCTTGCATGTTTTGTACCCTGCTTGGTGTGAGTTTGGCCGAGGTCATCTTTAGTCTAGAACTTCCCTGGAACCATTTTGTTTGACCTCCACCTTCGCCCTGACATATTGGCCGAGATGTCATTATCTAGGCCGAGGTGTTCGTCACTAAGGCCGAAATGTGTATTATCTGGACCGAGATGTCACCTTTGCACCTAAGTGATCTTGTCCTGGAGTGGTATGACCTAGACCAAGGTGTGGCACATCTAGGCTTAGGTGTGGCACAGCTTAGTCAAGTGTTGTCCTTCCTAGACAAGATCATTGTTCCCTTGCTTGCCGATGTCTTGTTCTTAGCCGAGATCATTACCCGTCGGAGTGCCCATGCCATTTTGCTTGTAGAACACACTTTGTCATAGTCTTGTCTCTTCGCTCAGTCACTTTTTAAGTAGAACCAATCAGCTACTGCCATGTGTCCCAACTGAGTGTTAAGTCAGCCAGCAGACCTAGAAACGTATCATTTTGCTATATGTCTTTGTTTGTGAGGAGGGAGAAGCTCTAGAAGAAGAAGAAGTCTTAAAGTGAGAGAGTAGACTTCCGAGCTTGATTTCTAGAGATTAAACCGTTAGATTCGTGTATTAAGGTTAGATTCTTGGTTCACTCTTGTCGTTCTTATTGATCGTCCAGCTGCATTGCACGATCGAACCTGTTTTGCACGTCATGCATTGGTTTAAAGTTTGGTTTTAGAAAGAAAAAATGGTTTTCATGTGTTTTGAAAGAAAAGTCTTGTTTGATCTGAAAGTTGCCTTAAGATTCATGTTTTGTGTTTGTTCTTGCAAGATCCTTGAATATGGGTACCCAGGTCCATGTATTTGAATTCATAGCATGAAATCTCAGATTTTGTAATAGCAAATTATGATCTTGCATTCATCTTCTTCATGTTCATGTTCTTCAAGAGAGGGAAACCCAGATTTTCCCGACCTCATTTCCTTGAATGTGGCCATCGAGGCAACACCTCGGCAAGGAGGTGTGGGACCTCGGCCTAGACCTGGTAATCGCCCAGCATGTTTTCCCCAGATAAAGAATTTTGTTTGTTTCGATTTGACTCAGCCTTGGGGAAATGCCGAGATCATCTACATGCATGTGAAACTTGTTTGAAAGTGCATTCAACCGACTTTGCCATGTGTTTGTAGGGTTTGGACTTGCCTTGACCCCAATGCCTCAAGAACTAAGTGAGTGGTATCTTTAATAAAGCTATGTTATAATGCTTTGATAAAGTCTTGTTTTGCTTGTTTTGCAAAGTATTTGTAAGCATGAATGGTTATTCCCAATTGAAAATATACATATATATATCTTGTTTTGATGACATTCTTGGAAGTCCGTACGTGCTAACGGACAATAAGCACTGGTAGCACAAAGTTTGGAAGTCCGTACGTGCTAAGGGACTATAAGCACTTGTAGCACAAAGTTTGGAAGTCCGTACGTGCTAAGGGACTATAAGCACTAGTAGCACAAGTCCTTAGTGTCCGGGGACTATTGATAAAGATTTCGGATATCATTCATGTAAACCCCTTTATTATTTGTACCATTCACTGAGTATCCAAGCTCACCCCTCTCTATATATATGTAGGTGACGAGCAGGACGGCGGTGACGCCTAGATGTATTTGCTACTTGTTTTGGATTACCCACCTTTATCGCATCTTGAAGATTATGCTTCTTAGTTGTATTTCGTTGTATTTTGTATTTGATGGCTGAGAAGCCTTTTGGTCAAGATGTATTTTTGTACTTCATTGTTGTATTAAAGCTATGTAAAGATGTATGCCATTCCATTTAGCTTATGCACAGCTCTTATAGACTAATTAAATTTGTATATATTGCTTCCGCATATGTTAGCCCCATATGTAATACTCTGATTGTGTGTGAAATTTGAAAGTTGGCATTCGGTAATCTCGGATTACTGGCCATCATGGCACCATTCTACTAGGGGCGGAATGGGGTCGTGACAGATTGGTATCAGAGCACAAGTTCCTCATAGTACATTATTCACACACCTTGAGTCCTAAAGAGCATAGGATTTCCCTTAGAAAGATGTTAGGATTGCATCATGTTGCTTGCTATTTGACGAAGTGTGCATCATCTCGGCTTGACTGTTTGTTATTTGCATACATGTCTATTTGATTGTTTTGTTTTAAAGTCATGTTTTGCATACTCTTAGCATCATGAGAAGGGATAGACCACTGGTTGGTCGAGATCATCCCAAAGATAGATTGGACAGATTAGAGAGATTGGTCGAAGGTTTGGTCCGTGAGTTAAGACAACCTAGGCCACAAGACACTAGTACCACTTCTACCCAGGCCGAGCAGACAAACGGTCGGCATGCAGTTCCACCTCCACCTCCTCCAGTGCCGCAAGTGCCTTTACGGCAAGCTATATGGGGATGGCACCATAGCCTTGATTAGAGAGTTCAAAAAGATGAAATCGCCGAGGTTCTCTGGGGGTATTGAACCGATGAAGGCCGAAGCGTGGGTCTTGGAAATGGAGAAGCTGTTTGAGATCTTTCCTAGTACCGACGCCTAGAAGGTGTCATTAGCAACATTCACACTAGACGACGATGCACGAAGATGGTGGATGATGACTCGAGAAAGCAACCCAGGTCTGACTTAGGACAGATTTTTGGAATTGTTTTACAACAAGCATTTCCCCCTTAGTGTTCAAGACCGTAAGACCACAGAGTTTCAGACTTTGACACAAGGCAACAAGACAGTGGCAGAATATGACCGTGCTTTTACCGAGTTGGCGAAATATGCGCCTCACATGGTCGATGATGAATACAGAAAAGGCCAGGAAGTTCGAAAGTGGATTGCGTGGACCAATTCAGGATCGAGTTAACATGCTCAATATGCCGACCTACGCCGGAGTGTTGGACAAGGCCATCTTGGCAGAGGCTAACTTGAACCGATATCAGAACTCAGGAGAAAATCAGAAAAAGAGGCAGAACTATGATAATCGCCGAGCTCCATTTAACGCCAAGAAGAAAGCAAATATGGGCAGCTCCAGCAACTCGAACCAAGAAGGTAATACTAGGCCGACATGTGCAAGCTGTGGGAAGCCGCATTCCGGAGTTTGCCGTTGGGCATCGGGAGCTTGTTTTGAATGTGGTGAAATGGGTTATCGTGTGAAAGACTGCCCGAAGGCAAGGACTGATGATGGTAAGAAGAATGGGAGTACCTCGGGCTATGCACAGAGAAATAACATCGGAAGGGCACAGACGAGACAGGGCAGAGTTTTTGCACTGGTACCAGGAAGACCATTCAGAATGCTGAGACAGTAGTGTCAGGTATACTCCTAATTTGCTCTCAAGATGCATACATATTAATTGATTCGGGATCTACGCATTCATTTGTATCTGCTAAGTTTGCCGAGAAGTTAAATAGGGAACAAGAACCCCTTGACTATGTGTTATATGTGTCTACTCCATCTGGAGAACTATGATTGTTGCATCCATTTTTGGGCGTGTGTTGTTGTGATTAAGGGTGTAGAATTATTAGTCGATTTAATGCCGTTAACCATGGCTCACTTCGATGTCATATTGGGAATGGATTGGTTAGTAGCGAATCATGCATCCATTAATTTGTTTCGAGAAATGTCACACTGAAACCCCCAACCAAGCACGAGTTATTTTCCAAGGTAAAGGGAGTAGTGCCGCCACCTTACTTAATCTCATTCATGAAAGCCTATAAGTTGATCCAAAAAGGGTGTCAGGGTTATTTGTGTAGTATACTAAGTGATTCGAATGGAAGTGTTGAGTTAGCCGACATACCATTGTTAAGGAATTCCCCGACGTCTTCCCAAATGAGTTGCCTGGCCACTTGATCGATAGAGAAGTAGAGTTTACTGTGGACATCATGTCGGGAACGCAACCTATCTCCAAAACACCCTATAGAATGCCCCAGCTGAACTTAAGGAACTAAAACTACAACTATAAGAATTGTTGGATAAGGGATTCATTAGGCCGAGCACTTCACCATGGGAGCTCCGGTTCATTTGTTAAGAAAAAGGATGGCACACTTCGCCTTTGCATTGATTACCGGAAACTTAATAAATAACCATTAAGAACAAGTACCATTGCTAGGATTGACGATTTGCTTGATCAACTACAAGGAGCACGAGTCTTTTCCAAGATTGACCTTAGGTCGGGCTACCATCAGCTGAAAGTTAAAGCCGAGGATATTGAGAAGACTGCTTTTCGGACAAGGTATGGCCACTACGAATTTTTGGTAATGCCTTTCGGAGTGACCAATGCTCCCGCAACATTCATGGACTTGATGAACAGACTTTTAAGCCGTATCTAGATGAGTTCGTAGTTGTTTTTATTGACGACATATTGATCTATTCCAAGAGTACAATTGAACACGAGAATCATCTGAGACTTGCCCTGCAAATCTTAAGAGATAAGAAGTTGTACGCCAAGTTGAGCAAGTGTGAATTTTGGCTTTCCAGCATTTCATTTTTGGGCCATGTGATTAATGAAGAGGGTATATCAGTTGATTCCAGTAAGATTGAAGCCATTGTGAATTGGCCGACGCCGACCAACGTGTTCGAGGTTCGTAGTTTTCTGGGCTTGGCAGGTTATTACAGAAAGTTTGTGAAGGACTTCTCAAGGATTGCGGTACCATTGACACAACTAACCAAGAGGGAACAACATATGAATGGACCGATGACAGAGAATCAGCCTTTCAAGAGTTGAAGACGAGGTTAGTTACGGCACCAGTTCTTGTACTCCCATCAGGTAATGAGGAATTTCAAATTTTCAGATTTTCAGTGATACTTCACATAAGGGTTTGGGTTGTGTATTAATGCAAAGGGGCAAGGTCATAGCATATGCATCTCGTCAGTAGAAACTTCATGAGAAGAACTATCCAACCCATGATCTAGAGCTAGCAGCCGTGGTGTTTGCTTTGAAGATTTGGCGCTACTACTTGTATGGAGCCTCTTGCCAAGTTTTTACAGATCACAAGAGTTTGAAGTATTTGTTCACTCAAAAGAAACTAAATTTGAGGTAGAGAAGATGCCTTGAATTATTGAAGAACTACGACATGCAAATTCAGTATCACCCAGGTAAAGCAAACTCGGTAGCCGACGCATTGAGTAGAAAGTCAGTGGGAAGTTTGGCATGCCTAGCCATGATTTCAGTGGAGCCGACTACTATTGGGGAAGTAAAGGCAAGGCAAATGGAGGATGAATTCCTGAATAAGGTAGCCGACGAGATTATCACTAGGCCGAGGTCAGGTTACACCTTTGAGAATGGAGTGCTTAAGTTTGAAAGAAGATTGTGCGTGGCCGACGTCCCGGAGTTGAAAGGAAAAATTTTGCAAGACTCTCATGGATCCAGATTTGCAATTCACCCAAGGAACACCAAGATGTATCAAGATGTAAAACAGACTTTTTGGTGGCCGAATATGAAAAGAGAGATAGCCGAGTTCATATCCCAGTGTTTATATTGTCAACAAGTGAAAGCGGAACATCAGAGGCCAGCAGGACTTCTCCAACCCTTGCCGATTCCTGAGTGGAAATGGGAACA